TCCCCAGCAAGAAGCCACACTTTCGCTATGGAAAAAATTAGTTCCCCAAGAGAGCACCGGAAATGGAGCCTAGGTCTTAGTTAACACCTAAAAGGCGCTTCGCCTAACGTGCGTACGGAGTCACACTAGCCGGGAAATAAAAAACGCAACCATAAGTGAGTTTAGTACCTTCCTTAAAAGTAGCAAATCTAGAGAACACTTTCTTTTACGGTTAACTCTTTTTTACGCTATTTACGGCTAACGGTTAATTTTTTTTAATTTTTACGGCTTTCGGCTAAATTTTTGGCCGTTTTACGCCTATCGCGGTTAACCCCATTGAGACCGTCTTGTAAATACTCCTATAAATTCTTGGTGGAGGTGTGCCGCCCGGTTCTCTGAATCATGAGCCAGATCAAAATGCTATTTTCTTCACTCATTTTTAGACCTTGTCTCGGTCTCTAACAATCATGAAAGGGTCAGGATCAGGGGGGTACTCCCTTATGTAAGGGAAGGGTAGGGGTTTTGGGCCTTTTTGGTCTGAAAACACTTTGCCCATTTTGGTCTGGAATCGGGTATGGTTTTTCGAGGGAACTACGGGAGCATACATGAATGGACGTATTTATCGTTTCACTTCCAAATGAATAAGAACGAAATAGAAATGTGCGAATTCGAAATGCATTTGGAGAATTTTTTGTTTTGTTTCCGCTCTAACTTGGTAATGATGACATAATTTTGGAACAAATTATAGCCACCGTATTGTGTCTATATATTTCTTCTATAAATAACAAAAGATCGTTGCTCAGATTTCAATCAACAACGGCCCTCACTAACAGAGGGTGGTCTGCCTGTGCTAGGACCATTCAAAGGATGTTATTCAGTAACATCTACTGAAAGGTCCGTTACCCCGCGGAGCAAGAAGAGGCTTGAAACTTCAAAACATCCTTTAAACGGAGAGAGTGACATCTTCTTGTTTGAATCAGTCGAGGGATGATCGAAAAAGCAAGACAAGACCTCGAAACAAACATCAGATCATCAGACAAATCGGAGTATACGATCGACGCAGAAGAAGTCACAGGTAAATATATCCCACGAGGCGAGCGTGACGTCATACGTTTACGAAATCCGACCGAAGATTAAAGCGCCTTTCGACTAGGCTTTTTTACATTATGCTTTTGCTTCCCTACTAAAATGCTCCACCTTAATGCTCCATTTTTCCCACTAAAATGCTCGGGTAATGCTCATTATACAAACGGTTTTTTTAATTAATTTCAAAGTTTACACTTACAAAAACGTGCAAGTGTTGCAAGTAACAACGACTACGTGTACAAGTTCATAAATACACCCAAAAAAACCAGCTGTATTAGGTTTTTTTGTGAATTTTGAATTTTAGTCTTCATTTTGTTTTAAAAAGCAGGAGCTCATGGGGCATGGGGTCCTGAAAAAAGTTAATTTCTATTTTATTTTTTCGGAAAAATTAATTTTCCGGGGAAAATGCCACTAAAATGCTCGAATAACGCTCAATGCTTTTGTCTCACTAAAATGCTCGAAAAAATGCTAGCATAATGTACAAAAGCCTACTTTCCACCCGGAACCAACGAATGGAAACAATTTTATTAGTCCGTTAGCGACGGGAACGCTTGGCCTGGTTTGAATGTAATATTAAAACACAGGTATCCCAGACTCTCCGGGAGTTCGCTGGAATACTGCAGAATGCATAGAAAGGAAACAATCCGAAATTCATTATTCTGCCTTTCTTATTGAACGTACAGCTCAAAATCTGCCGCAGTGAAAGACATATGAATATAGGATGGACATGATTGCACGCTACTAGTAAAATAAACACAACTCAAATAGACTAAAAAGCAAAGTAAAAAACACAACACAACACATCGAGGGTCATCGAGTCTTCTAAAAAGGAGGACGAACTAATAGCCTTCCCTTTCGAACGCCTGCCACGCACAACTACCATAAATTTTGACGGCGTCAGGTGATGATGAAGATATTCTAAATTGGCGCCAAAAGTCGTTCTTAAAATAAACTGACCCCAGTTGTTCTAGCCTGTAAACAGACGTTGTTTTATTTTTCTTTTCGTTCGTTTCAAAAAAATCCCCTGCGGTTTATATTTTATCACCCGCGCTCGACGGACTTTGAAGAGAAAGTAGAGGGTCTGTGAACAGGCTACAGTTGTTCAAAAGGGTGACATAAAACGCTAGAGCATAAAGGCTCCTGTTGATAACGCTATCCACACAAAGGAATGGATTCGCAATCAGGTGTCTGTGCGAACAGGAGCCCATCAGGTGCGAATAGGCCATCTCAGAGTTCCAAAAACTATCACTTCCAAACCTAGACAAAATTTTAAAGATTTTAAGGGAAAATTTGATTACCGTAAACTTTCCCACCCCCCCCCTCAACATTTATAGGACCATCTGCCCGTAAACAAAAAAACACGTCCTGTTTTAAGCCCCCCTCCGCCTCTAGCATGCATCGAAATAAATTCAACTTTTTACAACGTTTTGAAGCTTAAAAGCGATCAAATAAAAGTATTTTGATCCAGTTTTCGAGGAGAGGGAGAACCGGAGCACCCAGGGGAAAACCCCTTGAAGAAAGGACGGGAAACAACAAGAAACTCAATTCATAAGTAATTTACTTTTTTTGGCTGATATTTTGGTTTACATCCCTTGATATAAAACTTTTGACCAAAAAGGTAGTCCTTTCGTATACCTTTCATAGGTAAATATATTCCCTCTCAAATAGACACCCGCGCTCTAATAAGCATCCACCCCAAGGTTCATAATATCAGATATGGAATAAGCGCTCCCCTCCCCTCCCCCTCACTTTCTTGAATAGTAGGGCTACAAGGAAAACCTGTTTCTAAAGTGAAAAGACCATAGTACGCTTGATTATCAAGCACTTTTTTAACAAACGAAAGACATTGATATTGAATTTATGTTTACACGGCTGATGTTATATTTAAGATTTTAACCACAATAAAGTTGCACTTGGTTTGTAAGGGGAAATTTAATAAGTGTTCCTCTCGATAAAGCGCCCTCCTTCTAATAAGTGCGCGTCCTTTTAGCTGAAATTTGAAATAAACTCCCGGGCACTAATTCGAGGAAATTTGGTATTTTTTAAAGGGAATTTATTGCGTGCAATTTTATGGTTAGTGTATCGTATTAGACTCCGAGTCACATAGTACATACAGCAAACGTAGTGATCAGAATCCCGGGGGGGGACTCCCATATGAAAGGGGCGGGGATGCCCGTCTGAAATTTTGAATTAAACCCCTAAAGGAGACCAATCTGGGCGTGGCCCAACCTTTTTTGATCCCTAAAAAAACTTTGATTACAGTGGAATCCGGTTAATACGGACACCAAGGGGACATGCCATAGTGTCCGTATTATCCGGGTGTCCGTATTAAGCGGGCTTTCAGAGAAAACGTCAGGAACACATGTTTTATCGATATAAAGACCAAAGCAGACAGTTTTACGAGAAAACATTTAATTTCTTAACTGTAACAGTAACAAGTTCATCCTAAAGAAACCTCACGATCATTTATCATAGTCTCAGAGTAAAATCTTTTAAGTATTGTAGTATTGTTATTGAAACAGGCACGACAGTGGATTCATTTGAAAAAGTCTGTGACTTTACTTTAAGAGCAATGATTGCAAACCAAGGAACTGAAACTTGTGTAACAGGAGACAGAAAACTTTATTGAAGGACTATACGTAGTACAAGAGCCAAACACCGGAAGAAAGACAGACTGTTCAAAATCAAATATGCCACGCAAATTTGTTACCGTTTTTTTTAGTACTGTAATAAAATTTTATTCACCCGTAAAAATCTTTCATTATTTGAACAGGGTAAAATGTCTACAATTATCACATAATTAATATAAGACAATAAAAATAGACAGTGTGCAGATAACCAGTGTCCGTAAAGCAGGGTTCACAATATATGAGAGTTTGTGACTCGGGACACAGAAAAGTGTCCTTTGTCCGTATTAACCGGTGTCCGTATAAAGAAAAAATATATGAGAAAATATAAAGAGAAAATATATGAGCTTTTTGTCGGGACAAACGAAACTATCCGTAGCGGGTGTCCGTATTAAGCGGGTGTCCGTAGAGTAGGGTTCCACTGTACATGAATCGAGTAAATAAAACGAATTAAAAATATATAATTTTTTTATATTTCTTCGCTTGCAACCGTGAAAAAGACCTTTGCGGCTAAATACAATGGCGTTTTGCCCAGAACACGCTAAGTGACACCACAGGTCGAAATTTACACCCCTAAGCGAGAAGACGAGCATCCCACTCCTTTCGTATGGGAGTGCCCCATCCCCCCCAACTGGGGATCAGAACATGGGTCAACTGGTTGCTTTCAAGAATGGTAAATAAAAACAATGGAAAACTATAAAACGGCAGCCACCTCAAAAGGTGGTTGTGATCGCTAAAGATAGGTCTCCATTAGGGGCCGACCATTTAACTCTTGAGGGGGGAGGGGGTGGGTGATTTTGAAAAAGAATTTCCTGCAAGAGCTTGTCGGAAGAAAAAAATGCATGCAGCACAAATGTAATTGAAAGCTTATGGGGAAAAAAAGGGAAAAAAACATCCTGCCCACCCACCAGATTGCTAGAACAAAAAATTCTTGATGACCAGAAATCACCCACCCCTCCCCCTCCCTCAAGAGTTAAATGGTCGGCCCCTTATAAGGATTTGAGTAGTAAAATTTTGTGTGTTGTGGATGGGTTGTCGCTTACAGATCTAGATAAGGCCGCATACGGAGGTTTGACCCGTGCTTTAAAATATCGTTTAATTATATTTACCCGCCGATCATGCAAGCAGAGGTTTCTCATAGGATTGCGCACGCTCGCGCGAACATTTTGAACTCTGAAAATGGCCTGAGCGCGAAATCTCTGCACCATTTATTTTTTAAAAAGTCACTTCGAAATGTAGAGTTGGTATTGCTTTTTTAAATGTTGTGGCTCCTAAAAGAGCCGTTTGTTTGTAAAGAAGTGTCGCGCTTTACTTCTTCTTAGCTGGAGACTTTTTGGCGGCAGATTTCTTGGCGGACTTTTTGGCGGCAGGTTTCTTTGTGGGTGTCTTCTTCGCAGATTTCTTGGCCGCTGGTTTCTTTGCTGCCGGCTTTTTCGCTGCCGATTTCTTGGGTTTTTTACTTGGTGTCTTCTTCGCTGGCTTCTTTTTAGCCGCTGCTTTCTTTGCTGCGGGTTTTTTATACGCTAGTTTCTTTGCTGCCTTCTTGGCGGCGGGCTTCTTTGGCTTCGCTGGTTTCTTCTCCTTCTTTTCCGCCTTGGCGACCTTGAAAGAGCCAGATGCGCCAACACCTTTGGTGTGTATCAACTTTCCACTCGCAGCACCTCTCTTGAGAGCCATCTTCAAGTGTGAGCCGACCTCGCCAACCTTGTAGTTGGCTTTTATGTACTTCTCAATGGCTTGGCGAGAAGAACCATTTCGCTCTTTTAGAGCGACAATGGCAGCCTTGATCATATCAAGGTATGGTGGATGCTCAGCTGGCTTTTTAGGCGCAGCTGGCTTTTTTTTAGCCGGTGACTTTGCTTCAGACATAACGAAGAAGTTTGTACGATACCTTCGGAAACGAAAGAACTGAAGAGTCGAAGGTCGCACTGTGATGTATATGAGTTCTATGCGGACCACTGAGGACACAGACATCGAACATGGCGCACGATGCTTTTGTGCTAGTTTACTGAAGATGTCGTCGAATAAAGTGATGTAACACAGTAGGTTATTCCTTCTAAAGTTTAAAAACCGAACGTCAATTTATCAAAAAATTGTTTGGCAATAGTACTTGCGAATTGAGGCTTTTGAAGGTAGAGATGTATAGCTTTTTATTCTTTAACTCCAGAAAATCTAATAGCTATTTGATCTTTTAAGTCCTTTATCTTTTGCACTCGCGACTTTCTTTCTCTTTAAAGACATTTGGGAGATGATATAACTCCTGTACTTCAACCATATATCATTACTTTGCAAAATTTGCTTCATTTAGTATGGTTTAAATTCTCTTTTGTCAAGATAACAAGGACAAACTCATTGGCCTCCATTTCGAAGACCGAGACGACCGTACTCAGATGAACATCAAACAAACGGTCACTCTGCTTTTGTGATTGCCAGCAGTTCCGAATGAAGAAGGGCACATTTTCTTTTCCGTTTCTTAGAGGATGTTAAATTTAAATTAGCTTTTGAAGCAGTGGATTGAACAGTGGCTGAGTGAAACTTTCCAAAGCTGTCAGAGCTTCTTGAATGTCACCCACCAACTCATTTCTCACAAACGCTCTTCGACCTGAAGGGTTTTTCTTTGCTTATGTTTCTTTACTGCCTTTTCTTATGCGATGCCAAATCAGCTAAATGAAAATCTCTTTTAATACACCTCAAAGCAAAAATCAAAAGTAAACTGAAATAGTTTTGTTGAGCAAGAATCACCAGTGAGCGGTGTGTGATTTGCATAAACTCTGCGCTAAATGTAGATAATAGAAACAGATAATGTATCTCCATAAATTTTAACTGCACTTAAAAATTATTTCAACTTATATACCAGCTTTCCGTAACCTTTTATCCAAATTAAAATTTGTGTCTTTTACACCGTTGTTATATATACTATATATATATATTTTTCGAGCCAAATGTCACTTCCCACGAAATCAATGTCCTTTTATGCCGATTCCGCTAATAAAATCCTTAAACTTCTACCTCAGTTTTTTTCTAAATCTTTTCCCTTAAATAAGTGTCTTTAATATCCTGGTCGAAGTGATTCTTTTCTTTTTTCTCTCATGACTGCCCTATTAAATAAAAACCCTTAACTTCCATCTCATTGTTCCTAGTTTAACTTGAACCCTTTAATAACTTCAGAGTTTCCTATTAAAAACTAATAGATTTTTTTTTATTTCAGTGTGAAGAAAACTCAACACTCTTTCGTTGTGGTGGCCACTTTGTGGATTAGTTATAAGAAAAATGAGGGGAAGCTTTGTGTAATAGCAAAAAAAAAAAATACTGTTTCCTCGTGTGTGCTGTTAATGTTACGTAAAGAAATACGAAGCATGGTTGAGCACAAAATGTGTTGCTTTTGGTCATTGCTTTTATTGATGTGGTGGCTCCAAAAAGAGCCGTTTGTTTTGTAGTGCAAGCAATTTACTTATGCTCGCTCTCCGCGGATTCGGCGGGCCAACTGAATGTCCTTGGGCATGATGGTGACGCGCTTGGCATGGATGGCGCACAAGTTGGTGTCCTCAAAGAGACCAACGAGGTAAGCCTCGCTAGCTTCTTGAAGAGCCATGACAGCAGAGCTCTGGAAACGCAGATCGGTCTTGAAGTCTTGAGCGATTTCTCGCACAAGACGCTGGAATGGCAGCTTGCGGATGAGCAGCTCGGTAGATTTCTGGTAACGACGGATCTCACGAAGAGCGACTGTACCAGGCCTGTAACGGTGAGGTTTCTTGACTCCACCGGTTGCGGGCGCGCTCTTACGAGCTGCCTTTGTGGCGAGCTGTTTTCGTGGGGCTTTTCCACCAGTTGATTTACGAGCAGTTTGCTTTGTACGTGCCATCTTCAATTCTAACCGAAAATTAACGGATATGATGTGCAATAGATCTGAACAAAATATATTTATACTTAGCGGGCTTCTTTCCGATTGGTCAAAAACTATGCGATTTCATTGGACAATCAAGACTATTAGCAAAGTATTGTCATTTATCTGTAATGCTGTGTTTCGATCCTTAGATACTTACCAGTATTTTGGATTAATGGAAATTGTAAATGCAAAGTTGTCGTCCTGAATAATTAGAAAGTATCATAGTAAAAGCAGTCAAAGAGATTATGGCTGGTTTTTGAGTGATACCGACTATTATTTTCTCTTTTAACCTGTTCGCACATCTCTTGCGAAGCAAACGTATGGTAATAATTACCTTAACCTCTTGGCTCTTTTGTCCGAACTAACCAATAGAGAACCACCTCTTATTATCTCTTCTGGCTTGTTTTCAGTGAGGTCCTTCTTTGCGGTATAAATGCTGTGAGATTCGTTTGCCACTTTATTAGTCAGTCTTCTACGCAGCTATCAACATGTCGGGTCGAGGTAAAGGAGGCAAAGGCCTAGGAAAAGGAGGCGCCAAGCGTCACCGAAAGATCCTTCGTGACAACATCCAAGGCATCACCAAGCCAGCTATCCGTCGTCTTGCTCGCCGTGGCGGTGTTAAGCGAATCTCTGGCCTGATCTACGAAGATGTTTTCCTTGAGAATGTGATCCGTGATGCTGTGACCTACACCGAGCACGCCAAGCGCAAGACTGTGACCGCCATGGATGTGGTGTACGCACTCAAACGCCAGGGACGTACTCTGTACGGATTTGGCGGTTAAATCTTCACGCTACACACTCAAACCAACGGCTCTTTTAGGAGCCACCACATCTTTAAAAGTCATTGCCAATAAAGTTTAATACTCGTACTAGTAATTAATGGTCTAACTGTGACTTACCCTAGTATCTGAGATTATAAAACGCATTGCACTGGGATAAAAATATGCTAACATATCAGAATGTATAAATTTGGAAAGCTGTTTGTTTGAGAAATAGACTAAAAGTATTCGCGCGATTTTAACGTTGAACTAATTTTTTAAAATCTGCATTTGGAGGCCATTGATGAGGATTTGTTATAACTTATCATCACCATAGCATTTATTACTGATTTTAACCTGACTAGGGCTCGTTCACTCTCCTTATATCCCTCTCACAGTATTTTGTTTGAAATTTTAAAAAGTCGCGTTTCCGATACTAGTCATGTCTGGTGGGTTGCTTGCATTTTTAATTAGCTTATGAGTGTTTATCTTCGCACCAATGAGTACCTTGTTTGCCGCCAGCGATATAAAAACATGCACAAACTTTTTGCTTAAAGGTAGGATTGTTAAAAAAATACTTAATTCCTAAATTCATCTTATATTACTTTTTTTTTCTTTGTAATTTTTACGAATGTTTTCCACGCAAAAGCTTTAGGTAAGTGAGTAGAAGAGGATTCCAACACCCATGATACGGCTTACTGTACTGAAACTAATAATAAAGTGACTCTGTTGATCACGACTTTTATGATATTTGGTGGCTCCTAAAAGAGCCGTTTGTTTTTGACGTGGGAAGGATGTGTTTAAGCTTTTGGCTTCTTCTCGGTCTTCTTGGGCAGAAGAACAGCCTGGATGTTGGGCAGAACACCTCCTTGTGCGATGGTGACGCCGGCATCGTCAAACAAGTTGAGAAGCAGCAACGCCTGACGTTCGACTTCCACTGCCCCTTACTAAGACCAGAAGAACAACAGTGCTCGTCGCAACGGGCGGTTGAGCTCCTAGAGTCGCGAGTTTATGAGCTCGTGTGCAGCCAAGTAGACTGGGGCACCAGCGCCAACACGCTCAGCATAGTTGCCTTTGCGAAGAAGACGGTGGATTCGACCAACAGGGAACTGAAGCCCTGCTCGGGATGATCGGCTCTTGGACTTGGTGCCCTTTGCCTTTCCTTTACCGCGACCTGACATGATTTTAGAACTTCTGGTTGGCACGAGAACGTAGGAGTGAATGAACTATTACTTGCAATCCTTAAAATTTATACGCGCGGCAAAATTTGAATAGGATCGAAACGCACCAATCACACTAAACAATTTTAGGTAGTTTATGAAATATGATGATGTATGCAGGAAGCTTGTTGACCTTGAAGGAAAGAAACCAATGAAAACTCAAAGATTTCGATCCGTATGTTAATTGATCCCCTGCTGGTTTTGTTATAAATACAATATTCTGTAAGTGTACATTATTCACTTCCATTCTTATCAAGTGAGATGGCACCTAAAGTTGCAGGAAAGAAAGGCGAGAAGAGAGCTGGAAAGGCTAAGGCTCCATCTGATGGAAAGAAGAAGAGGAGGGGAAAGAGAAAGGAAAGCTATGCTATCTACATCTACAAGGTGTTGAAGCAAGTTCACCCTGACACTGGTATCTCCAGCAAAGCCATGGGCATCATGAACTCGTTTGTCAACGACATTTTCGAGCGCATCGCTACCGAAGCGTCGCGCCTTGCTCACTACAACAAGAAATCAACCATCAGTTCTCGCGAGATCCAGACCGCCATCAGGCTGCTTTTGCCCGGTGAACTGGCCAAACACGCTGTCAGTGAAGGAACCAAAGCTGTGACCAAGTACACCAGCAGCAAGTAAACTCACTTTGTGGGTTTACCGCCAAAACCAAACGGCTCTTTTAGGAGCCACCAAATGTTTAAAAGTCACGACCAATTTCAGTAACATTTATAGTTCCCATATTTTCAACCTTTTTAACGAGCATTTTTATCACCGAAAAGAAACGGTTGTTTCCCATAATTTTCGATTTTTTTTTACTTGCTACGCAGGCTGGAGCCACACGCAGAAGCGATCGAGCGCGACCCGTTAATTCTGGGAGCGGTGAGCTCTTTACAATGTTACAGAATACTTTGCCACTTCGAAGCTGTACCCCTGAAAAAGCTGAATACGCAGTTATCCCTTTTATGGGCTTTTCTACCTTCAGCGACTTAAAGAACGACAAATAGACATACTGTATGTTTTTTATACTGTGTTAAGCCGTGTATATCCAAGTGGATACGCGGTGACTGTTATTTTAAAGATATTAAGTGGATACGCGGGGTGACATTAAGTGGATACGTAGTGACTGAGTATTCGCGTATCCACCTATTTTTAGGGGTTACAGTAAGTAATTTATTTTTACACGAAAACACCTGAAGAGTTAACAAAAACTCGTACGAAAGTGCACGTGTAGAAAAAAATTATAAAAACCTAAGTAAAACAAAAAAAACTTAAACTACTTAAGAACTAACACATATCATTGAAGAGCCATATGGATAGAAATGTATCGTTTTTGCTTCGTTTTCCTTAGTATTTGAGGGCAATTTTCCAAGTATAGGCCCCCCGGGGGGACTTATATTTGGAGCGGCGATTTAACGGAGGGTTTTTTGCGTTACCGGTTTGGGTGGCTCATATTTGGAGGGGCTTATACATGAAGGGGCTTATTTTCGGAATTTTACGGTATTACTTAAAAAAATGTCATTTAAAAAATCGTTAAAGAAAAGATTTGACATGAACATTCAGAAAAACTTTCACGTAGTACGATCAGCATTGCAGTATTCTGCTTGCAGAATCTAATATGTCTACGTTATCATTTTATTCGGCATATTCGTCTTTGGTCCTTTGCAGTCCCTTGTGGTTAATGTTTGTAATTCAGAAAAAGGTCACAAGCTATGATAGCAAAGAGGAAAATAGATTAGCGTGTTCCATCCAGGCTCCGAGATGGTCGGGTCCGCTGAATTGAGAAAGCGCGAACATGGAAAAAAACGGAAAGAAACTGGGTAAAATTCCTTTTTCATGCTCCGCCAACTTTTCACGTGCCTTTGACTTTCGCGTCGTCCCCACTATCTGACAGGCCTGGAACAGGCTAAAAATAGATTAGAGAATGTATGATTAAGACTAGCAACATTAAGGTTATCGGAGTTTCTAATTTATAGCGGTGGCTTATTCCACAGCTTGCTAGCTATATGAAAAGGATTTACGCATCCACTCAGTGGTGAAAATGAGGCTATACCAAGTTATTTCCCTTTATAACATACATCCCTTAAATTCAGAAAATCGGTAATCTACTTTGTTCCTAAAGCTATTGAGGTTAAGACATTTTTAAATCAACACCAGAGCTTGGTAATGTCTTACGTGTTCTCGTTCGCTTTTTTTTCACTGTCCCTCATTTTCACCTCAGTGCATTGGTGGCCGCTAGCATTTCTCATTTTGTCACTGCTGTTACAAAATTTTCATGTTGTTTCCAACAAAAAAATGTCTCTTTTGTTTTTTGTCTCTCGCTCTAGATCTCTGTCACCCTTTTTCTCGTTGAGCTTCGCTGGCCTGCCGCCTACTTTCTCTTGCTCTATACTCCAAGTTTGTGGACACGACAATTAATCTAAGCTTAATACTTTAGACAACAAGGATACGACTGTCCACGGTACAGAAATATAAATTTCCGCCTTCAGGAGCCGCTCCTGCCGCCTTCCGTTTTCGTATTTGGGTTGCCATACCTGTTGATCGATATATTTTACATTGGTATGCCTGTGGTGCAGACGGACGGTCGGTTGGCCGGTCGGTCGGACGTACGGTCACGTGATTACTAAAATTTCTGGGATGGTTATATTACCACATTTTCTTACCCTTGGTGCTCTGCTGCGCGCGTTTGACGCGTGAGAGTTCCGATGTTACAATATTCTAAATGTGGAACACACAAGAAACGTTTTATATAGGAAAATCATAGTGTTCACAAACAGAGCGAGATATTCGTTTAAGAGCTGAGGTCTTAAAAAAATTCTCTGTAGCTGTGCCCCCACGTAAGCTACCAGATAAGGTTCGGACATGTCTACTTTTTGGGAAGAGAACTTATCGCATGCAATTTCTGCGTTACAGCCAGACTTGCCAGTCGACTGCGTGAGCGCCGGAGGCGCAAGGGACGTTCGCAAAGCGAGCGAAAGCGAGCGACGCGTAAGTTATAGCAACAGTTGTCAGCATACGCGGGCTATAGGTCACTTGAATTAGTCACGTGTTAACACATGGAGAGCTAGAGGGAGCACTTACGAGAGACAGCTAGGGCTCTGTGAATACCAAAAACAAACAACATCCACCGCTAGGGCTCTGGGGAAGAGACTGCAACACCAAAACTGAAACAAAATCCACAATCTGGGGAAGAGACTGCAACACCAAAACTGAAACAAAATCCACAATCTGGGAACAATAGTCCAAAGCCAACCCGTGAGATCCGGACTGGGAGCTGGTCAAAATGCTTGGCCAGGAGACGGTGGACTTAAAAAGAAAAATTCAAGGAGGGCCATCCATATCAGTCTAGAAAATCTGAGACCTCTCAAAGACCAAAATTTATTTCTCGTACTATAGGAGGATCCCCGGGTTTCTCGGCACTCCCCTTATCACGCGATAGTTTTGGACTTGCACATAATCGTCGTGCTAGCCTGCGTGGCAGGCGTGAAAGGGAAGGGAAAGGGGGTTTTGGGCGCGAGGGGCGCGCGAGGAGGCCTCCTCGCGCGCCTCTCGCGTTTCTCTCGCACCTAAAACTCCCTTTCCCTTCCCTTTCAAACGTCTGCCACGCAGGCTATCGTCGTGCATGCACCCACGTACTTACGTTCACATACTATATTTTTAAATCGGAGCGCCACCGCTGAATAGTTTTCAGCCTACAGTGTTTAGTATTTGTACTAGTAACTCTGTGATTTCATAACGGTTGGAGATATTGTCTGGTATTCTACGAGTTCTGAGAACGCAATGTATATCATAACCGATGTGTAATCATCTACAAATCTCATTCCATCGTCTTTCATGGACTTTATGCACGCATACGAGCATGTTTGTACTAATGTCTGCCAGAAATGTGGGTTGCATACACAACTGGACCGGGAAACATTTCATATCCGTGGTTTTACAGTAATCAATTACCCTTTTTTGTTTCTGGACCATTTGTTTTAATTCAACTCACGTAGACATTGACTACGGCATATCCCACGCGCGTCGAGCAATGTGATACTAGTATTGCCTTAGATTTTGCCCAAGTTTTAAATTAGTGTATTTTATAATCCGTCAGTGTAATGCCTGATATTGTCAATCTTTCCTGTCCTGGTGCTGTTCGTCTAACGCGATTTTTCAAGAACGGATTCCTTCAAGACCATTGCCGGCAATCCGAATACATTGACTTCCGCTTTTTTGTTCATAAGCTTTTTCAGAAGAGCCATATGGCTCTTGCTTTCAACGAGTCTTTGAGTCTGGAAACGTAATAGCGATTTTCAGTCTTAAAGGCCTTATCGTTTAAAAAAAGTTGAGAAAAAATTCTTTTTAATATTGAATGCATGGCTTTTAATATGAATTCGAAGATTGCCTTTTTTTTACTATTTTTAAATAGTCAAAAAAAGCAGTCAAATACAAGTTACAGTCAGACATTCCAGTGCAATGCGCGCTCTCGGTCTTTCCTCTGGAGTTATACGGAAGTGCTGTTTTTATAGTTTTTAAAAGTCTGGTGTCGAAATGACCTCGTTTGTGACCTAGCCAACCTAAGTTTGACAATTAAGACAATCTTTTTCCTCTGTTGATATCAAATAGAATCCCTACCGGAAGTTGCGTTAATCCCTTATTCCATATATGGAGGTGACCTTCTCGAGGCTCGAGCGATCAAGAGCTTCACTCGAAAAGTTTTATTGCCGAACAGCTCATATTATCAGGGGAAAATTTGCTGACTTTGTGCTTCAACAGCCATGAAAGAAAGACAATTCATCGTAGTAACCTTGAGATGTCTATTTGGCTAGTGAACTGAAGGTTAAGTGCGATGAAAATGTCTTGTTTTGGGAGTAATACCGTTTGGTTTTGTCATGTTTTATTGCTCGACGAAAGTGAACATCCAGTGGAGATTAGAGTAAGTGAGCAAACTTTTTGAGTGGATCCCTAAAGTGATCAACTTTCTTGTTTTAAGTTTACTGTTTACTTAGAGCCAGTGCTTGTTTTATCTATACTCTTCAATCGTGTTTGGAAGAACACGACTGAAGCGCGAACAAGGCCTTTCTTGATGAGAAAAAGCTAAAGTGGTTCGAGTTAAGTGATTCCCAGAGCCGATATTTTTAGCAGATTATTGGAGGGCTTTATCTCATTTTTTATTGAGAGTCCGACTGTCTTTAAGTGGTGGAAACCTTAAGGTATTTCCCTCAGTGGAATTAAAAAAGAGCCAAGCTTTTATCAAGATCAGCATGCGTGCGGCCGTGTTGTTTAAGCTGTTCTTTATGAGTTATTTGTCAGCATGAGCGAAGGATTTCATACTCGATAATGTTTACCTGCAGCTTTAACTTATACAAGGTACTTATCAACCTTTTGTCTTTTGTAGCGTCCACTATTCCATATAATTTTATAAAGTTCCAAAAAGGTCGAGTTTCCTTCGCTTGTGTTTCGGATATTTCGTTTATTATGGGCTTTGGAAGTTTAGCATGCAGAAAATTCCGTCCCGCGATAACATCTCGACTGTGTATCCATGCGGGATTAAAATTACATGGCCTAATATATCACGTTTCTCAGCTTTTTGTTTGTTAGTAAGTTGTGTGTAATTTCATGAACATCTCCTCCCGTATTTTTAAGCGAAGAAAGTTATTCAATAGCATTCAAGCCATTTTTCAGCTTATAGAATTATTTGTTCTTTCGTATTCTTAAATTGATTTATATCGCTGGTATATAATAAAAGATCCTTTTGCTTTGATATTTCCTGAGAGTTGGTAACTGTCAATAGTATTTTTTTCCGGTGAAAACGCTTTCAACTTTTTAAAACCAGATTTGTTGATATTTTTCAACCTCTCATGAATTGCAATTTACAGCTGCGGTAAAGATCAAGAGATCATGAAATCAAGCGATGAACAATCACGCTAATGATCACCGGTTGATTTCTAATGACTCTCCAGTGAATGATTTAGAATAATACGGTCTTTTAGCTTGTGGTGAAAAGTCCTGCTGTTAATTTATACGAGTTGAAGTGTGGTTCAGGAGCATTTTCATTGGTTTAACATCCATTCCAGCTACTCATGCTGAAGGCAATGTTGCGAGGATAGTAATTACACACAAAAAAAGCCGGCTTGATAATTAGTGCCGTCTTTTAAAAAAAGGTTTTCTGCGGGTCAGCGTAATAAACAGGAAAGGGTTTCCCCTAATAACAAATAATTTGAAAACTGTGGTACTAACAAAAAAAAAATTGAGTTCAAACTACTTTCAAGAACCCTGTTTTGTGTTAAATGTCATATTTTTAAGATTGTTGATTGTTGACTGACAGTCAGATGGCCCTGTGCACGAGATATTATACTGGTTGCTTTCCGTAAAGACAGTTATTATTTATTGTTTTACTCTATTAAAAAGCATTGCTGTGTCATTGTGGTAGTTGACACAAAATTTTATTTCATGAAATTTATTTACCAGCTTACCCAGCTTACCGGTAAGCTTAATCCAAATTAATGGCAATTTAAATTTGCAAAAATTCTTCCAAATGTTGACAAAGCCACATGGCAGCAAATGCCAAATGACAGTTGTAAAGATTAATGGATTAAAGGAAAGAAAACTTCCTCTTTGTATACCATGAGTCATCTTTGTTTTGTAGGACAGACTGTAAAAAATAATTTTTTAGCACCTGCAATAGTTAGAAATAGCAATTTATTTTTTGACATGAAGACCAAAGGATCATGTACTGACTTAACTGACAATTATGAGTACAATAGGATCTCAGGACCTTTGGGAGAATTCTTCATGGGTTCAGGGTGCAAAGAAGGTCATTTTTACAGCTTGCCATTCGGGCAAGCTGAAGCCAACATTTACTAGCCCAAACAACATTTAAACTAGGGCCACAAATGTTTTGATGAGCAGATTGATTTCACGGTTCTTCTGTAATTTGAATTCCTCAAAAAACTCCACTTGCCCATTGGACAAGTTAATAACAAAATTCACTAGTCCGATAGCAAAATCTACCAGCCTCAGGCTATTGGACACTAATTTCTTTGCACGCTGGGGTTTGAGTATGCATTTTGTGTGTTTAAAAGCAAATTTATTCAATTTAAGCACCCAGCCTTGAATAAGCCCCTACCTCAAGTAACTGCCCATCCTTTTTGCAGGAAAAGTTAATAAGCACCCAGCCTCGAATAAGCACCCACCCCTGACCACCCTTGATGAAGAAAAATGGCCTTGCTGACAATTTGATTGAAATAGACTTAGTTCCACAAAGAGTTATCCCTCAAGACCAAGTTTTCTAAGTATTTTAAAGAAACTTTTGGTTGGATTTTGTTGCAAAATAAAAAAACTATTATTGAAAATTTCAAAAATTTAATACATTTACAGCTGCGTAATTAAGAGGCCCTTATAGGAGGGTAAATATGTCCCCTTATTTTGAGGAGTAGACCATGTCCCTGTTGGTATTTAACCAATCTTTATGTCGTTTGTCACCATTACATCCCGTCTTATGTATATGTTACAGGTCAAATTTGATTTTAGGTTAAAATTTATTTAACGTAGGTTGATTCCCAATTTTCTTTGTCTCATGAATAATTAGGGCTAGGAGACAAAGGAAATAATTTGAGAATCAACGTGGGTTAAATAAATTTTAGCCTAAAATCAAATTTGACCTGTAACATACATGTACATATGTCGCTTGTTGGAAATTTTACCCTAACATGGCCCCAATTAAGTGACCCATCTGTACCTTAGGCTTAAGCTTTCCATGAGGGGGCATTTCTGTGCTTCAGGCTTGTTTTACTTAATAATAATTTAGTACTTTAGTGTCTGTTCATATTCTTTTTTACAGTCTAAGAGGGATAAAAATGTATCTTGCTACATTAAACTATCCACTCATGGAGACCAAATAAATAAAGAACTATATCATATAAAAAAATATTATGTAGAACAGTGGTAGACATGTCTACTATTTTTGGTATCTTAAACTCCCTAACACATTGTTTTATCTGTTTAGAAAAAGACGAAAGGGGAAGAAGTCCTAGAGAAGGTGTTTAAACATCTTAATGTAATTGAAAAAGACTACTTTGGCTTGCGTTATATTGATCGGGATAGTCAATCGGTATGATACTCTTAATTTATTGGTCTTTGTCAAGTGTGGATTAAATGAATTCAGGTTCTTTTAAAATGCCATTTTCCTTCTTTTTATAGGATACTATTTTTTTGAAGAATTCACTCCTTCTATATTTTGGTCAATGAGGGAATTTTAGAAAATTCCTGTGTTCTTTTAGGATCCAAATTATTTTGCAGTAAGGTTGATCAAAAATCAACACCACCATTGATTGTAATTTTTCTGGTGCTTTGTCTTTTTGCCGAAGGGCATATTTTCAAGGCTTTGTTCACTCATGGGAAATTTATCTTGTCTTATCTTATCATGTGCTGTTTCTATATTTGTTTACATTAATTTGTTGCTTATTTATGCTCCATTCTGATTGGCCAAAATCTGACAGCTGTGTCGATGGGTAGCCACAGGGGGCACTGGAGGCAGAATTCAAATTCTCAAAGGTGCCTGCAAGCTCTCCCTTCCTTTTTTGCCCTGCTGCAGGAGTGCCCCAGGAGAGCTTGCTCGCAGGCTAGCTGGAGCGGGAAAGAATGCATGTATGCCTTATAAAGTCTAAGCACAGTGTCACTGTCAGTAAAACTCCTAATTGTATGCAGGGTGATTATCTTTGCTTGAATTTTACTAATTAATAGGATAATTATTATATATTGAAACTCCCAGCAACTTAAATCCAATGATCAATGGGACAGATTTTGAAAACCATTATGTGGCTGCATAATGAGTGGTTAATTCTCTGTGTTCAATCAGATTGAAAAATTTTTCATTTCAGACATTAGTTTTGAGTTCATATAAAAGGAAAACTGAGTTTAAAGAAATTTTTTCTACCTCCCATGAATGCAGACATGAATGACCTGATGTTGACCAGCGACTAAAAGATTCAGTTTTTAAAGAATGAAATTATTAAGGGAATCTACACGTATAGGTGTATGCTTGGTGAGACTGGAACTGCTACTCATTTTCTTTAAATTTTTTTATTTTTTGTAGCGATGGTTAGATCCCTTGAAGCCCGTGGTCAAGCAGTTAACAGGTTAGAGTCATGTAATTTTTATTAACTTTTGTTGGTCCAAACCCTCTCACTGCCAAAAGCGGCCAAAGTAAAATTCAATGGCAGTTCCAAATGCCATGAAATTGTAAAATGGAGAAAAAGAAATAATACCATGTAAAAATACTGGTGAAGGGGATGAATTTGAATGGTAACAACCAGAGATTTCATCTACAGACTCGAATGTTATAACCACTTCAAAAGGTAAGGTAAAAGTTAAAGGTGCACATGAGCCAAAGGCCCAAATGGCCAGAGCTTATCCCGGTTTTCTTAGCCTGAAGCATGCTTAGGAGTGTTGTTACTCCCCCCTGGATGGGATGCTAGTCCATCGCAGGGTTATCCCCCAGCAGTATGTTACCAGTACCCATTTATACATCTGGGTGAAGAGAGACAAAGTGGAGTAAAGTTCCTGGTCTAAGGAAACAATGCGATGGGCAAGGCTTGAACCCCAGACCTCCAGATCCGGAGTTCGAGGTGTTAATCACACACATCTCCACATAAAGACTCCATCATAAATCTTTTGAGGGTGAAAGAGCTAACAAACAAAACAGTTTCAGAAGTGTTGTTGTGACTTGTTGTTAGTTACTTGGATCCCATTTATTAAATCTGTTTCATTCTTATTTAAAACTCTTTTCTCTCTCCAGCTGGTCCTCCTTATTTACTGTATTTTTGTGTCAAGTTTTATGCAGCAGATCCTTGTAGACTACATGAGGAAGTTACCAGGTAAGTGACCTCCTTTTTAGGCTTTGTTCGCACTTAACCAGATAGTTTTTGCTGTCAGCATGAAAAACATACCGGACAGCGCTTCTTTTCACACATAAGAAGGCTAGGTGATTTTGGTGCTAATTCTGTAACAGAGTGAAGCTGTATGGTGCCATTCTCTAAAGTGGAGAGTCACATATTGGGTAGGTGTTCATACTACGCTAGTCAACGTTTTGTGTTGGCACCGAAAGCTATCTGTTATAGTGTGAACATAGCTTCAGACTGCACATGCATTTATGGTGTATAAATATGTGAATGGCAAACATGGCATCTCAAGCTTCCTCCTTCTCCAAAACAGCTTTCAATCCACTTGAATTTATTGGGAAGTTAGACAATTTGTCACACTGTTCTTCAAAAAACTTCACTTGCCCATCAGCCAATGTAATTCACTAGCCTGGTCACAAAATCCACTAGTCCTGGGTTATCAGACACGACTTTCTTTGCAGCCTGTACATGCACTATCTCAAGAATTTGTGCCTATCCAATTAGGGTAATAGGGTTAAATTTGTATATGTAGTAGGACTACATGCTGTCCAATTTGGAAATAATTGGATGAAAAAATTCCATGGACAGCCAAAATTGGAGGAGGCCATTGCGATTGTGGGCATATCTTCGATACAAATTACGTCAGTGTGATCAAACATTTTCCCTGTGAGATAGCCCATATAAAAAACCACAATAAAACAGACATCTGCTGTCATAAAACGACATTCACAGCAACAAGAAGCCAAGAGTCTTGGCTGATGAAATGCCATCAGCCAACAAGAATTTTCTGACACGTTGTCACAGGAACTTTAGCTGATTTGCTAGTTTGTTTTGCCAATTGTATTTTCTGGCATTTGATTGGCTCAGACCAACTGTCCTATTTTTCTAAAATTGGACTGTTTGCCTATTTTCAAAGGAAAGTTGTACACATGCATCTGAAGCTACCTAAATTTATCCTTAATTGGACAGTTTGTTAAAGATAAAGGATAAAAGCTATGCCGACAGTATCAGATTAACTACCAGCTATATAATTAACTGGGCTTGCCGTAGGCTGGCCCAGTTTATAAAATACCTTTGATTTTCTCTCGAGGAGGGGGGGGGAGGGGTATCACTAGCAATTTGTGGTGGGGGTGTGTCAACTCATTCTCTCAATGCTGACTGTAGACTCTATTTCAGATCAATATTTGTAAGGCAAATGTAAGCAAGTACCCACCGAAATGTTTGGTTCAGTAAATGGCCTCTATCAATAATTAACCAAGCAATCTGGGGGCGTATTCCTGGGAATTTTTTGTGGGGTGTGTTGTTTAGTTTGCCAAATCTTTACTCTAGATTTTATATCAGATCAGTACCTTTAAGGCAAATGTAAGGGAGATTAGGGGAGGGGTGCGTGAGAATAACGCTTATTGTTTCCTGCTTAGAATGGCTAACTTGGAATTTGAAAAGTTACCGTTCAGCTGTGACTTTAAAATGGTACTCTCTTTTCTTGTTACGAAAGTGTTCCAAAATGGTGCAATGTTCAAATGAGTTGATGTTTAATTCTCACATGAGATGCTATGCCACGCAATGGTCAGCGACAAGGTTATGTGATGCAGTACCCTCTCCCCCACGAAAAATTGCTTTTGGCGGCCCAGTTAAAATCATTTTTTGGCGATTCTTGTTAATTAAAGCTAATGGTTGTAACATGTGGCTTATTTCTAATGCTGAATACTTTGTTGTTTATTTAACTGTATCATTCTGATTTTTTTTAGGTATTTGTTCTTCTTACAAGTAAAAAAAGACATTTACCAGGGAAGGTATGTTTGCATCTCATAGAAGTTATCTTAACTCTTTTATTGGTTGACTGCAAGTGGTCTCTTTTTTTGTTGCAAATTTACTGCACGCAAAAGTCAAGCACGCGAGCATCTTGTCCCAATCCCTTTTTGTATCAGTCATAACGTCGTTGTTAGCAGTTGTGCTGGCTGAGATAAGAACTAGATGGATTTTAAGAGAATTAAAGGTGGGCTGCAAGCAGTCTATTTTATTGGATACCTATAATTAAATTTAAATGAACTTCAATATCTCGAGTTTTTGCATTTTTATCATGGCTTTTTGTTTATTTTTTAAGGCTACCTTGTGCAACAAACATCCTGGCAGAACTTTCAGCATACAGCATTCAGTGTAAGTGGGATTATTTGGCAAAATGAAATGTAATCTTAACAATCGTTATATGAACTACCCTTATTGTGTCATGACCTTATTGTGTCATGAGCTCACTGTTGCTCAAATCATTTACAACACATTACAAAACCTCTAATATGACATTCATTTGAGTTCCAGTTTGAATGTAAATTTTGACGAAGTGTTAAAAAATTAAATGAATAATTTATTACCTGTTAATGTATTTATCCTAAAAGTGCTAATTGATGAATGATATGTCCCCTTTGCCCAAATTCAAGATGATGACCTGGAACTTTTTAAATTGCTGGAGATGGGGCCATGATTTTTATGTGCTCTTCCACACCTCACAGTGATCTAGCTGTTTGAAAGGCAAATGTATCAGGGTTGGAAAAAACTTGCATTCAAGATTGTCCTTTGGGCAAGTACCTCTCTCATTTTGCTTGCACAGGGCCATCTCTTGCTCGTCTAAATAAATGATTTTGTTAGAGGGTGACTTGCCAGGACCCTTACCCATTGGGCAAGTAAGCTTTAATCCTTTAAGTCCCAATAGTGACCAACATCCATTTTCTCCAAACAATATCCATACATTGTTAAGAGAAATGGTTATGAGAATTAATGTCATGAACACCTGTGAAAAATGCTTTGATCTTTTATCAAAATCTCTCAACTAATCCTTAAGGAAATGCAAGGAGTTCAGTCGGGAGAATTTGAATATGTATATTGGGGCTTAAAGGCAGTCAAACCCTGTTAACTCGGACATCGATGGGCCGTAGAAAGTGTCCTTATTAAAGGGAGTTTGGGTGTATTAAGTGGGTTGAATTTAGAGGAAATGAATGGGCTTTCTTTCCTTAGGGACAAAGCTAACTGTCTGTAATAATGAGCTGTCTGAATAAAGCAGGTGTCTATAAAGCGTGACTTGACTGTACAGTCAAATGTGTGTACAACAGTCACCCTTGGGAAATGGCAAGGTGACGGTTATTTACAGGGTGACCGCTCCATCAGGGTGCAAAGAAAGTCATTTTTACAGCTTTCCATTCGGGCAAGCAGAAGCTAACATTTACTAGCCCAAATATCAATTTCAACTAGCCCCAAAAACATTTTGACGAGCAGATTGATTTCACAGTTCTTCTGTAATTTGAATTCCTCAAAAAAATTCACTTGCCCGTCGGGCAAGTTAATAACAGAATTCACGCGCCTGATAGCAAAATCCACTAGCTCCAGGCTATCAGACGCTACTTTCTTTGCATGCTGTCGAAATAAGGCCGTTATACACATGTGTGACTGTACTTGCCCAGCAAGAAAATGTACTTGTCCTAGACTAGTGAAGCCCTGAATATATACCTTACTTCTTACTTATTTGAAGTCGCTGAGTGTTGGTTTGGCCCTGGGTATCAAACCTGCAATCTTCTGCTCTGCAGTCCAGCTCTCTTCCATCTAAGCTATTCGTCCTGTGGTCTGTATAAAAGAGAAGTGAGGCACATGTATTCAAGTATTCAAAGTCTTCTTTGTTTGATATTATTTTCAGCTGAGCTTGGAGAATATGATCCTAAAGAGCACACAATGGGTTATGTATCTGAGTTTAGATTTATTCCCAACCAGGTATGAATAATAAATAATAGTCATGTTAGTAGTTAATTTTTAAATTATTTTACTCCCAGAAGAAGCAAAAGTCAAATTTCAACAAAATCTCTAAATTTCATTTGGTAAATTCTGAAAAGCAATAAGTAGCTTGGGAAAGAAGTGCCCAAAGAGATTTAAGACTCTATCATTCAACCTGGGAGTGAAGTGGTTATATCAACTCTTGCACTTACGTAACTGAAATAGAGAAAATTTGGACTCCTAACACTGAATACAGAAATAGCACTCTGTCAGTTCTGTAGGTCGTCAGTACATCTTTGTCTTTTGTTTTAGTTTAGTTCCTTAACTCTCTATCTCGCTTCTAGAGATGGCCAAGATAAAAAGGGACAGTTCATTATTTATGGGGATGACTGAGTCAGAAAGAAAGCTACTGAGTTTTGAGATTTTTTTCCCTCCAAAGTGATGGTGGTTATGCATTTTCCTACCAAAAAGTGACCAGATTATGTTAAAGTGCTGGATAAACTTAAGACTTTGTTAAGAAAGCGACAGTTCTTCAGAATAAACAAAACATGGAAAATAATAAACAGCGGTAGTCCCAGACGTTCACATTAAAATGAAATTTTTATACCTACTCCATTCTTTAATATTTCATGCTTGAATGTTTCTTACATGTGGGCCATAGGACGTATCAGTATGGAATTTCTGCAGTACCTTGGGAAAACAGCTGTATCTCCTCACTTCTCTCTGCTGGAGATGCTTCACGAGGAGGAACGTCTGCAATTCAGCAACAGAAATTCTATACTGATAACGTAAAATCTGTTTGGAATCCAATCATAAGCTCTGATTGGATGATGGAGTAGTAACATTGTTTTAGCTATTGTTTTCGAATTGAGAGACAAAAGGCTACAAAGGTCAAATAGCACCACTGGGAGAAAGTAAAATTGAACAAATTTGCATTTGGAACCCCATGACAACTGAAATTATTATGTAAACATTGATTTATGTCATCAGTATGGAATTTCTGTGGCTGAGTCGCAAACGTTCCTCTTTGCAAAACGTCCCCAGCAGCAAGGAGCCAAGAGAAACGGTGGATTTAAAAGGCTATTTCTGCAGTTGTTCCTCTGGTGTCATTTTGCAGGGAAACTAGTGGTGGCGTAGCAAAATGTTGGCTATTTTCTCATGCTAACTCTTGCGCTGACTTCTCTACAACGGCTATTTATCTGGACTGTCCCCACAGTGATATTATGTAATGTTATGTTGATTGTCTCTTAGAGTGAAGAACTAGAGAAAAAGATTTTTCATCAACACAAGAAGCTTGGGTAAGCTTAGTTATATTTTAAGAAAATGCTTTTGAAACTCCTTGTTAATATTATTGATTAAGAGGAAACAAAGGACAATCAGCCTTAAAAACAGCTTTTAATTTACATGGATTTCTTATGAAGTTAAACAATGACAGACGATTCCCGATAACTCGAACCCTTGCTAACTCGAACCTCACGCTAACTCGAACCAAAATCAATTTCCCCTGGATTTCCGTCATACATTCACTGTAATTTTACCCTCAGTAACTCGAACCCTCGATAACTCAAACTCCCGCTAACTCGAACCAATTTTCGTTTCCCCTCAGGTCATTTTCTATATAATTTTACCCTCGATAACTCGAACCATGTTTTGAGCTCTTAGAAAGTCGGGAAAAAAGCCGTCTACTGGCGTCCGAAACATTGAATTTTGGATTTCCTATTGATGTGTTGTAGGAGTGTAGTTTACTAGTGGAGGCTGATGTTGATTGTCACAGGCTAACGTGAAGCAGCTTCTCTTCTCAAAACAGTAAAACGCATGCTCTATTTAGGCTATGTTTTGCTAAGTTACGTTCTGATTTATAATCTAGAAGTATCTTTTAATTTTTTACTTGACATTTCTACAATTAGATGTGATTAAGATGTTCACTGTGCAGTAAAAACTGTTTTTTACCCTACTCTCGGCTATTTTCTTCGAACTCCCAATAACTCGAACTCCCGATAACTAGAACTCCCAATAACTCGAACCTTTTTTCGATTTCCCTTGAAGGTTCGAGTTATCGGGAGTCGACTGTATCTCTCTTCATTACTTCTCTAAGTAAACATCAGAATTCACTAGCCTGATCACTTAATCCATTAGCCCTGAGATATTGTACACAGTGTCATTTGCAAGGTCTTGAAACTTGCTTCTTAACCAAAACTCCAACAAGCAGACACTGCTTGCAACTTACTGCTTACTTGACAAAAACCCGTTTGGATATTTATTAATCTTTTTGCTGAATGAGCCATTCCTGTAAGTGGTGGTTATCAACCATATTTCCTTTCTTAGGCCTATGGTTCCATCTGTAGCAGAGTTTATGTATCTTGATAAAGTCAAGTGGCTGGAAATGTATGGAGTTGACTTACATCCAGTCAAGGTTTGGTGCTGTTTTTACAATTCTAGAATACTTACTGAAATCCTCTATTAAGCCCCATGTGGGGCTTAAGGTGAGGTATGAGGGGTGGGGGAAGGGGCTTTGTAGAGATGGGGGGGCTTATTTAATTTAGCAAAGACGATGGTATCAGTTCTCTCAAGAGCCCATCATGGTTCTCTATAAAGAACTAGAATGCAAAATAGAAAAGCTAAAGTCAAGAAGTTGGAAGTTGTGGAGATGAGAATCAAAAACAAAACTGAACTTCCCTCTGGTGAATAAACCTTGATTGATTAATACAGTTTAACATTTAATAGTGAACATAAGTAATGGGGAGGGGAGGGGGGGCTTAACAGAGGATTTACGGTAACTCATTCACACCTAAAATACCTGAAACTGCTTGACATTAGGCTGAACCACCATACTAAATAACTAATGAAGGAGTGTGTGGTAAAAAGCTTTCAATAACTTCTGATAAACTACTTGATTCTTCGTCCATATTTCTTGGTATTTTCTTGTGAAACAAAAGGAGAATTTCACATTACCTCGTGCCTGCTCTTGTGACAGTCATAAGTTTTAATGCTCTAAGATACTTTAACATACAACTTATGAAGTACAGATAAATCTTTCGAAACATGCCCAAATGCATACTGTAAACCGCCACTTATAAGCACCCCAGTTATGAGCCCTCCCCAGTTATAAGCCCATCTACCTGTAAACAAAAAAAATACATTCAATAAGCCCCCATGGATACAAGTCCCCCTCCAACCCCCTCCTAATGTATTGAAATGAATTTGATTTATTTCGACGTTTAGAAGCTTAATAGACCCTATTTACAATGCCCGCCATCTTTGCACACACTTTAGGATCGATGGGATAAAAGCTTTGTCAGGTGGTATTTCAGGGGGGAAACAAGAGATTAAATTAGCCAATATGGGTAATTGCGGTCAAGTTTTTTTATCCTATCAAAACGAGATGATGATTAATAGTCATGCAAAATTCACAGCTAGAGTTTTGACAAGATTAATTTAAGTCATTATTCTTTGCTGTGAGGACATCTACAGTCACTAGTGGATCCAAAAAAGTGACAACTATCACTTCCACCCATACTTTGTCATTAAGATGACAAGTTCTTCATTTTCTGAATTCTATCTAATAAACAAACTCAACTGCGATTTCTTGTATTCGCAAATTTTATCACTTATTATAAGCCCTGAGCTTATAAGCATAGTTTACAGTTTACGCTTTGGTAAAGTTCTTTTACTGAGTGCCTTCTCTTTATTTTTGACAAGGGAGAAGATTTTGTGGAGTACTTTGTAGCCCTCAGACCTTCCGGGGTAGCAGTTTACAAAAACAAGACTCGTGTTGGATCTTACCTCTGGTAATTATGGGAACTCTTATCTTAAGTTTCGACATCTATTTGAAGTACGTCATTCACGTAAACCCCGGAAGTTGTTTGGTGTACTTTTTCTTTCTGCATTTGAGAAACATTTGCGCATGTAAATGTACTTGCTAAATACGGTACCTGTATGTACATCACAAACAATAAATATATATTAATATTTTTTACGACTTTAAAACCCTTGGCTGAACTAAATCTATTTGTGAAGAAATTTGCATTCCTCTCCTAATGTGGTTGCCAATCAGTGTAAATGAATGGCTGCTCTGCAAAATGGTGCATGAGATATGTTTTGCTTTAAAATCCAAAATGCTCCAAAAACATTCCAGCTCCCCATGGTCACTGCTTGCATTACTTAAATCCCCTTTGTAACCAAAACAGCTAGTCAGCACTACAATTGAGTTCTTGTACTGCATTTTAAGTTGACTAGTCTTATCATAGTGTATTTTGAAAACATATATGCCTTATAGCATTATAAACCTATGAAGCTTTTTATTTAGAAACATAAAATTATGCTTTTATTATAGGAAATAATATTTAAACTGAAGGTGTGGTAAAAACTGATCAAAATCTGTTACTTTTATAGGTCAAAAATAGAAAAGGTTGATTTTAAAGGCAAGAAATTCTACCTGTCAGTAAGAGGAAAAGAGGTGTCAAACTTTTCTTTCTAGTTAATATCATAATAATTTACCTTGTGCATGGAGAGTATGTGGTGCTGTGGCAATTAAGGATAGTTTATAAAAACAGACTGTGTACAAGTTTGATTTTGCAAGATGCCCTTTTTTCAATGATGTGTCCTTAAATTGGGAAGCTCTAACATTAACTGCCACACTGTTTTTTTAAACTTCGATGTTTACTGGCTTCCATGACCTTGATAACCAGTCTCCTCCACTATAATCATGCATTATTCATATATTCCATATTCATCCATTCATAAGGACAAGGCAAGAATCAAGTCTTCTGAGTTTATCACATGATAGACCAATATTTACAGTAGGATTTGGACCAACAAAATGCAAGTGAATAGGATCTTTATCTGCTCCTTTATTCTCAGGGCTGCATTTTGGCTGAAAGTGTGGCAGCCTGTGGCTACTTTTTTTCGCCTTCCAGGGCTGTGCTCTAGAAGACCCTTGTGCCCCTGGTGCCTAACTTTTGCTCCTGGACAACTAGACAATCTTAGGTTTTTCATACAAATCAATGATATGCTGGGCACCTTAGATTTTACAGGTTCATAGCACTGCGCTCCCTTCAATTTTCCTTAGAGCATAGCCTTGCCTTCGCATGACATGGACATCTTAGGTTTTGCTCTACAACTTAGTGTGTATTTCATTGGTTTTGATCATTTTGGCTCTCTACAATTTTTTCTGAGATACAACCTTGAATTTCTAGACTGCATTAATTAGCAAGTGACCCACTCATAACATTGTAACCTAAATGATCTGTTTTGCATTTTCATAGGATAAGGAGTATACCTTTAAATTCTACCTTCCCGCTAAAACTGCATGCAAGCATCTTTGGAAGTGCTGTCTGGAGCACCATATATTCTTCAGGTGAGGAGATGTATCCTTCAAGGGAGTATTATCTTTTTTTCTTTTTAGGTGAAAGTAAAGGTCCTTATTTTGGTAACTCGTAACAGTAATTAAACTGACAATCCAAAGCCCGACGATGTGCTCATTTTACACCTCCCCCCATCCATCAATGCTTTGTTTTATGGGTAGTTAAAGCTAATGAAAGCTTCGTGTAATGAAAGAAGTCGAAACAAGGATTGTTGAGGTCACACCTGAGAATCGAACTCGAAAGCTCTAGCACAGAAGACCATGCACTAACCGTAGTTGCTAATCCTTGTCGAAGCTCAAGCCAAAAAAAGTATTAAACAGTATCTCTAGTGATTATGAATTTAGAAAAGCAAGGTACTAAAAACTGTGATTTACATGTATTGCAGACTAGATAAATCAGCTGCTACACCTAATCGCAAAAACAGTGGCTTATTTCGCACAAGTTCATCATACCGCTACAGGTAGTATTACAGGGTAATCTCTCCTGATTCTTAGAGGAAGTCTATTTGTATGGCAGTAATAATCACATTTTATCTGGAATACAGTCAAAGCTTTCCTTCTCACCACTCTTGTAAGCAACCAGCTCTAATTACGACCACGTTTGTGAAAACCCGTTTGAACTGACTTAAACTTTGTAATGAAAAGCTCTCTGAAGTGACCGCTCCCATAAGCGCCTGCGACCATGTTTGGGATTACCTAACTGGACTTTTCCTTTGTTTTTAAGCTCTCTTAAGCGACTACTCAGAGTCTTATTCATATAAATCAACACTTGAATAGCCTGGGTAGCAAGTACCTCCATGTGGTTTCAGAGCAATGAAAGACCAAGGAATGATGAGAAATGGGATTTTTGGTTTTGGCTGTGCAAAAAATGGAACGGGAGCCAAATAATAAAAGAGGGGGAGGGGAAGGAAGGAAACAGCATTTCCTTCCTTTCTTCCCTACCCTCTTTCCACTCTTTTACTCGCCCTATTTTTCATGCGGTCTTTGACTCTCATTCCTTGTTCTTTGCTCCGACACTGCAAGGAAACACTCGCTATGCAGGCTAGCACTTAAAAGAAACTGCACACTGCACTAGTGGTTCTAATACTTTAGATTTGGGGTTATTTTGGTGTTAAAAATTAGACATATAGTTCAGCCGTGTCTATATCAGGTATAAAGACACTCATTAAACATTTTAAAGAAATTAAATTTTGTTTGTTTATTCTTTATGAATTATTAATGAGTTCTGGAGCTCTCGCAAGCGAGCACCCTCTATAGTTTTACCATGCAGTTGCTTGCAAAGCTCATTCTTGTAGGCGACCAGCTATAGTTACGACCTTTTTTTGAAGTTCTGAGGTGGTCGCTCACGAGAGCTTTGACTATAACACTTGAAAAGAAAGGTAACATAACATGTTACGTCAGAAGCAATTTCTGTTTACATACATGTACCTTTTTCAGGTTGAGAGGAATTAAAAATAAAGTTAACATAAATTTATAAATTAAACGAAAATAGCATGTTGAGGGAAGTTATCTTGCCCCAAGGGTAACAAGTTGTTTTAGTCAACAAGCCCTAGCGTATCATATTTGTCATTTGGTATTGAAATATTATTGCAAAGTAAAGCCAAAACCAAGGGGCAGTTACTGCAGCTACATACGAATAATACAGTACAAAAACGTTCATGGAAGTATTGATCAAGTTGTAATAAGGTGACAACATTTTTGCCAAGTTAGGATATCAGAAGACTATAAAAGTTACCATGCTGATAAAAAATTGCTAGAGAAAGTGTCAAATTTATCAAAACTAAGTCTTATTAATCAAACTTATAAATATGAGCTTGCATACCTGAATAAAAAATTTACAACACAACATTTCAGTTTGTTTATTGTGGACAGTTCAAAACCCTCAATTCAAAGTTTACATTCAATGATCCTTGTAAACAAAGCACAACAGCACTATTTCTGAAAGTTCTGTACCTTGACACAACCATGGGTTTGTATCAAAACCTTTTTTGATTGCTAAAACTCTTTGGCAGCTCTTATCAGCCTTATTTTTCCTATTTCAAACTCTGTAGTTTGCAAGACTAAGTCTAACAGAGAGTCTCAGCAACATTGCAAAAGTATTGCAACAGAGGGTTTTTTTGAAAGTTTTACACCTCTGGATAATAGTGCTAGCATAATACTAATCATTAATATTTTATAATAATATTTCTACCTTTTTTCTCTGGCATCTTGATGATTATTTTCCTTTTCTCAAAGCGGTAGAACTCAGAAGGAGGCGTTAGAAGAAGGGAAGAAGATCCAGAGACCTGACCCAGAAGTGAGAAGGTAATTGTTTTTAACAAATGTATAACATTTACAGACTGAAGGAATCTTCTGAAGCATGCCCCAAACCTGTGAGCAATTTTGCCAACTCACCCTCATTTAGTACCAGCAGAGGTTTTTCCTTAATTAGTTCAGTTTATTTCTTGTTAAATACTTAAGAGCACTAAATTTAGAGTGCCCCACAGGTAATGAATTAATATTGCTATAATATAAACTTGTGTATGCAAGAGAAATAATCCATGTACTATGACCTGCAAATTTGGATGAAAGTTTTTTCTTTGACTACCCTTTGGTATCCCATTTAAACAATAGTAAATATTGACGTTATTTGTTGTTCTAACACACATGCACCATTTGAAAACATTAACATCTTACATATAGCTTACAATGGCATTTTTTGTGAAAGGTTTGGAGTCAATGAGTTTATTATGATCTTGACCTCTTTAAACAGAAAATGTTTAGGCCTCATTTAACACATAATGATAATGTGTTTCCTTAGAAAACCCAGTAAGCGGTATGAAAGAAGAACGTCCAGCGTTCAGTCTGTTGAAAAAGGTGAGCTGTTGTGCGTTATTGATAATAATAATCATAATGATGTGATGTGTGTGTTAACAATATATACCTTGTTATTCAGTGCAGTAAGTTGAAAGGGGCTATGTAGGTTGCTGTTTTAGGGCCATTCTGTGCTTAAGCCCTAATATCCACATGCAAATTCTTCAAACGGTCTCTATACATTTCCATAAAGAATAAGATGAGAAGGCATCACTTGGTGATCAGTTTTTTAATTCTCACAGTCCTTTCTCTTGATTGTGTATTGGTATTGGGGGTGAGAAGGCATCACTTGGTGATCAGTTTTTTAATTCTCATAATCCTTTCTCTTGATTGTGTATTGGTATTGTGAGGAGAAAATTGATGTTGGTCACTTTTGGGACTCTAAGGGTTAGGTCATCACTTAGTGCCTTTACCCATACAGAAAATGCCTCTGTAGACTGAAGATATTGAACAAATGTTGATGAATTTTGCTACCCTGCAAGCAGAGGCTACATTTTCGCTGTGTGAGCTGTCGTGCGAAAAGTAGCCAGGCTACTTTTCGCACGACAGCTTACAAAGTGAAAATGTGGCCTCCATCTGCAGGGCAGATTTTTGCACGAAATACCATTAAAAGTTGGCCTCACCTTTTCAAGTGTCGATCAGTATATCCATCCTTGCCATCTGTTGCAAAAGATGACAGGAAACAGTTACTTTGTCTAAATATTGTCTTTACTAACAAAGCTGGACCATTATCTTTGGAATTCAGTTGATCCAAAGACTAGTTTTAGCTTTTTAAAAAGATAGCAAATAGGCTGACGTGGCCCTTGTAAATGTTTTGAGGGGCTCTAAATAAAATATGTTCTGATGTTGACTTGTATAATTATATAATAGAGATCACAGCAGGTTTGCTTTTGTTTCAGCTCTTAGTACTGTGACAGTTGGTACAGCCACGAGTGTGTCGCAAGTTCAAATAAAACGTTTCAGCCAGCAAGAGAATTCAACAGAAGTCATAACAGTTCCTGTCAATGGCAACAATGGCTCTGTGTAAGTCGTGACACTATTGCCATCATCATTTGCTTGCAAACATTCCCCAAATGTAAAAGGTTTAAACCCAGTAGTCATTCCATAACTAGGTTGAGCATCCTGTCTTGACAGCCCTACTCAGGACTACGTTCACCCGGTAGATCATGCTCAACCTGCTTATAATTCCCCGAATCATAACATAATGAGACAGAATTACCGTCTTTGGTCTAAGGATTAAGTAAAAATGACATTATACTTGCTGATGATTTCAGGACACAGCTCTGTATACCGATTAGAATGAATGTTAAACTTCAGGGGCAGTTGCATACTGTGCCTATTCAATACAGACAAGGGAGTTAAAAAAACTTTGAACAGAAGTTATTTTTCAGTATTACTTGATACCATTATATGAGGGTCAATTTAATAAAACTGTTACAAGTGTAGCCATTGTTTTAGAGTCTGAAACAAAAGCCACACTTGTAAATTACTTTTGTTTAAGTTTTATTAAATTCAGGTTTTTAAAGAACGTTTTTAGACTAAAGTTTGAGAACAAGCTTAAGTCGCTTTTGGTTTAGGACCATTTTTAGTGAGCATGCAATGAAACGTAAGGTCAAATCAGAGGCCTTTCACAACTGAATACAGACCAGATCTCCGGCTGTTCCCTAGTGAAAGCACTGATCATTAGGCTACAGAGTAAGGAAACTTTTCTCAAGAATGTGTTAGGTGCGACAGGACCGTAGAGATACAAGAACCAAACGCTACACCCCAGTGTACAGTAAAATCCTAATTCACTGAACCCATGGTTTCTCAAAAATTCGGGATAATTCAAACGAAAATTGACCTCCCTTTCCCAGTTACCAATAGCGAGCTTAAGCAAAGACGTTTTTGAGCGACGCTCATCAATCGGAAGTGAATTTTTTTCATTCTTGGGAAATGTTTTTGCCAAAATTTTCGGGCAAATTGTCTGTATAAGAGTAAAGAAACATGGCAAAACAAATGTGGTAGCGTCAAGGCATATTAAACGACAAAAGGTCTTACTTCCGGTTGAGCTACGTCGCTCAAAAACGCCTTTTCTTAAGCTGTCTAATGTTATTTTACACCGGGGGTTTAAACTTGTGGATAAAAAAAAGCCAATTCTCCTTCCAGAAACTTGGAAAAATCAGGATTCAATTTGAGCTGTGTTCACACTATACCGGATAGCCTTTTTGTGCCGACACGAAAATTTAAAATACACATGAGCCTGACACGAAAACTTATCCGATACCTGACTCTCCACTTTAGAGATTGGTGCGTCGCAGCTTGGCTCTTTTACAGAAAACGCGCCGGTATCACCGTTGTTATGTTTTGTTTGTTATTATCCGGTACGGATTTCGTACTGGCGCAAATCTACCCGGTAGAGTGTGAACACAGCCTTAGACTGCTAAGAGTCGACCCGTAGGATTGTCGTACGCGTGGTGTGAACTTGTTTCGTGTGTGACGAGTGAGGCAAACGTGCAAGGAGGTGGGGGGGGGGGGGGAAAGGTTAGCCTCCCTCGCCCCCTTTTTTCCGCGGCGGGGTTTCTCCGCGGGGGCACACCTCCCCGGGGGGGGGGGAACACGCCTTCGACTGCTTAAGGGCGGCCCGTGGGGGTGTGGGCGGCGGGGGGGGGACGTTTTGGGGGGGGGGAGGGGGGGGGAAAAGGGCAGGGGGGGGGGGGGGGGGGGGGAAACGTTAGCCTCACTCGCTCGCACGTAACATGCTCGCCTGCACAACAATCCTGAGAGACAGCTGCAACCCCGGACAAAACCTGTTGAGACAAATCGCGAAAATGCCTATTTTTTCCTGTCATCCCGGCAAAAACTGAAACCTCCGCCAAGTGAATGCCCGATTTCCCCCCTCCCCTTGTCCAAAGTTGTTTAGGATAGCATGGTAATTATACACGTTGGTTTTTAGACCAAGACAACTTTGAATAGGGGGTGGGGAGGGGCTTTACTTTTTGTCTTTAGGGGAGACGGGAGGAGGGCGCAAAAGTTAGAAAATAGATGGAATTGTCTCAACAGTTTTGTCCGGGGTTGTAGCAGTCTAGGATTCAACGGTATTCTGTGAGAACATAAGACGACTTGATGGTTAGGCGTTCATATGTATTAATTTTGTGTTCCGTTTGTAGAGTTAAAACGGAAGGTGACCCAAGTTCAAAGGACGGTAACACTACTACAGATGGTCCTGCTCTGCCATGGGAACAATCAGCTCAGATGCAAGGGTAAGGCTGTCGACACCTTTAAAGTTTTGTTTTTTTATTATCATTCGACTTTAGTTCCCCCAACGGTCAGTTTATTTTAAATCTTGCCCAGCTCTTTGGTAAATTGATTTTGTCTAATGTATATTCCTGTATTCTATAATCCGAAGAGAAGCAATTTTATTGTCTGAGAGAGGTGGGTATTGCGTCTAATATGTAGCATTCTTTTGAATCAACAGTGGTTTGTACACTCCAGCCCCAGATTCCCCTCGGTCACTTAAAAGCTCAGGATCGGGAAGAGCAAAGAGATCGCCCAAATTTCCAAGGTATTGTGCCACTGGCCTTGTAGCAACTGTTAAAGGTCAAGGAGCAGTCTTTTTTCCCGTTTATTCAAACTTTCTGCAAGAGAGCTTCTTAAGTGCCAAAAATGGTTGTGTTGGTTCCAGCGTATAGTTCTTTGACTGGAAAATGTGTTAAGCTATTTTGGATAGATGGTCTCTTATGAGGGGTTTGTCCGTATTATATGACTTAGGTCTGCTTTTGTACTAATAACAGAAGGCAGAAGGATTGGTTTATTATTTCTTCTGCACGAGATAATATAGTGGGATCTTAGTGGCAGCATAAAAATAATTCTTATCAATCGTAACTCGCCCATTTCAATGAAAATGTTAATTAAAAGTTGCCCGCATAGCTGGGAGTATTGGGTTAATTATGGTTAAGTGATTGCAGCAATAATAAGCTTGTAAGGGGAAAGTAATAGCAACTTCAACCTGCCTTGTTAAGAAACGACTTACACTAATCTTGTCAGCTATGCAGGGGTACTCAAACATAATATGTTCTCTTTAGACCTCATCGGCGATCAGCTGCACAAAGCAGCGGCAGTGAAACGGACACACCTAGAAGAAGGTAGTTAATATTCATGTAAGCTTCATTGAGTTTGCACCTATGTTATTTTCACTTATTTTTGTTTGGATGAAAATTACTGCAAACAGCTTAAGAGCACTGATACCGAGTCAATTTCGTTCGGTTGATTGTTTGTGATTACTTTATAGTAGATGTATTGGATTTACCGTATGTTTCGTCTTTCCCTACCTGCGGCGTATGATATGAGCCGGAATCAATAGAGAGATTTAGAGTCACGCTTACGGCAAACGGCAGATTCGAGTTGAGAATTTCTCAAATTAGAAAATAAGCAGATATAAACGGCTCAAAACGATTCTTATAGGCAAAACGAATGAGAAACTACTATTTTGGGGGGGATTAATGAACAGTTTGCTTTAGACGTGACTCTAAATCTCTCAGGTGGCAAATCCCTTCAAAAAAAATCGCTCAAAATAGAACTTCTGTGGCAAAAGGACGACAATACACTGTAGACAGGACCAGCTACTTGGGTTTGAGAGAGGTTTGGATTAGGGAGAAATGCCATCACAAGGAAAAAGCACAAGACTTAACTGAGGTATAGGTACCTTGCCTTGTCTAATGCTTAGCTTGTTCATAGACGTTTTTCTTTCTTTTTTTTCTTCGATTATTTGGTGAGCGCGTGAGCGAAGCGAGCGTGCGACAGCGAGCGCGTAAGAAAAGCAAAGGATATTTTTTCCTTTCCCCACCCCCACCCCTTGCGCTGGCGGTCTATAAATCCCTGGCGGTTTTTTAATTTTCTACGCGGTCGCGCGCTCGACGATCTTTAAAGAGAAACCAGAGAGTCTGTGAATAGGCTATCTAATGCTAGCCATGGCACTGTGTTCACGCTGTATATGAGTTCATATACAGGACCAGCCATATCTTACAGCCAGACAATTTGACGTTTCTTGCAGGAGTAGGAGAGCTTATTCTTCAGATGATGATACAGGCAGAAGGAGAAGGAAAAGGTAAGGACAATTAACTTGTCTTTTAATACTAAATAAAAACAGTCGAACCCTTAAACTCGCAATAGTGCCTTGATTCAACATAAGTTTTCAGTAAGAAATCCTCACGCATTTAATATACCGGGAGGGGGGTGGGGACTTCCTTATAGGAGGCTAATGAGGATATTCCACTAGATGGGGTCGCATTTTCACGACTGGAATGACTATGATGGGGTTACATTTTCAATAGAGTTAACAGAATGGGGTCGCACATTTTCGGATTTTTGGGGTGAGAAAGTTCTTCACAATTACGGTTAGCAAACGTACCAGAATGTTTGTACTGTAGACCGGGTGAAAAGTAAAGTGTTCTTCATTCAATTTAAAACAAATTTGGGTCAATTAATTTTAGGATGACCTATTTAAAGTATTGACAAGGTAGATACATAAATATAAAGTTACTACTTTGGGATCGCGAAAATTACATTTGCGCAAAATTGACCAAGATGGCGTCTATAATTAGCCAAAAAAATAGACTATAATGGAGTAGTGGCCCTGAGAGACCAACTGCACATACCCAGCAAAAATTAACCCAAGTACCCCCCCCCCCCCGGGTAATATACAACTTTTAATAAAACCTACTCCAAGTACCGCCGAAAAGACTTTATTTCAATGATTTCATCATTGGATTTAAACCACGGACTTAGCCTCCGGGCAAATCCCGAGGGGGAAGGGTTTGGTGGTTTGAGGGGCCCCTTTCATTTTCTGCACATACCCAGCAAAAATTAACCCAAGTACCCCCCCCCCGGGTAATATACAACTTTTAATGATACCTACTACAAGTACAGCCGAAAAGACTTTATTTCAATGATCTCATCATAGGATTTAAACCACGGACTTAGCCTGCGTGCAAGTCCTGAAGGGGAAGGGTTAGATGCGTTGAGTGGCCTCATTCATTTATGACTTGTTTCATAGGCTTCATTGTTTTATTGGTGTCGCCATTGGAATTATAGGTTACATCTTTGATTTAGGTGTTGCTTTTCTTCACCAGTGTATAGGAGACTGAAGCAACATTCGGGGTGTTGAGATTTTTTTTCTTCTCATAATGGTTACCTTCATTTACAGTCAAACCCCGCTAATACGGATACTGAGGGGGCCATAAAGTGTCCGTATTAACCATGTGTCAGTATTAAGCGAGTTGAATTTAAAGAAAAATGTAAGGACTTTCCTTCCCCAGAGACAAAGCAAACTGTCTGTAATCATGATGGGTATAATCTGGGTGTCCGTAAAAGCGCGGTTTGACTGTAGTAAGTTTTCCCAGGGCTATTTTGTGGTGTCAAGAGAGGATAAAGCTTCTCCTCTCTTGGTGGTGTAAATTGATTGTTTTAGAGCGATTTTCGTATGGCCTTGAAAAATGGTTTCGGTAATAATCGTTATTTGTTTTATCAGCTAATGAATGAAAAGATCAAAACATGGCCTCTTCGTTTTCCCGCCAAAGAAGATCCCAATATGGAGAAGGCATTGTTCGATTGGCCAGTCGTGTTGCAATATGACGTCAAAGCGAAGTATCGATTGATTTCTAGAAAGTTCTCTGACATAAAGTTTTTTCCCCCGGGCGTTTGCTTAACCAACCAAAAGCCGCGCGCGTTTGTATCCGTTCGATAAACCAATCAAATCGCTTTGTTTCCGTTCGTTTGTTGTTTCAGTTTTGTTTGCGCGTTTTCATTTCAAGGTCATACGAAAATCCTTCTATCGTTCGTTTTGTAGATGTCGTCATCATCACCGGGGTCACCATTCTGCTGAGTCTGGAAGCGATCGTGACTCGTCCTACAGCAGAGAAGAACGCAGGCATCACAGGTCAGCGGCTGTCATTTGTGAAAATGAACCCTATTGTTTTTCAAATCGGTCACTTCTAAACTAGTTCGCGAAAATGATGGTCGTATTAAGACAAAAGATAATCCGAATAAATTTAATTTCATGGTGAAATACACCGACAGATCGGATTACAAGTCCTGGCTACATCTCGCCGGTTTTATTTCTACCTGGATTTGTTAAAACCCGGTTAGCAAACATTTTGTAATTTATCTCAACTTCCTCTTTCTTGGCTTGTTTATATTGTGTTGTTTGTTTTATGCTGCACCTTTTCTTGATTGTATCGTGGTTAGGGATTTGTGTAGAAGTGGCTGCAGACAGGAAATCCGGTACCCGGTATTCCCCGGGATTCGGGATTCGGGATTCGGGATTCGGGATTTGACCAAAATACAGTGGGGGATTCGGGAAACGTTAACGGGATTTGACTGCAACCGGAAGCGGCATTCGCCAATGCGAAATCAAGACCCCGCTTCCAGACCTTTGGTAGACTGTATGATGACCGGTAGCTCATGTAGCAATGTATTGGTTTTACTTCTTCTTTTAATAGATCTTCAAGAGAACATGTTGATTTCAGTAAGATGTCAGACTCGGCTCCATATCATTGGAGCGACAGTGGTGGCAGAAGAGACAGGGGGAGTGGCTCCGAGGACAGGTAAAATGGCGCAAACTTATGGTATCTGGTATTAGCATCTGGTATCTGGTGCTTAAAATTATGACCTAATCGATTTTATCCAATTAAGGTGGGTGGGGGAATCTACATTGACTAGTAGATATAGTGACTGTATTTTTATTCTGTTTTAGATCACATCATCATCATCATCGCCACAGGCACCGTGAGGGCGACGCAAGAAGCGACGGTTCAGCATCAAGACATCGTCACAGTAAAACTGTCAGCGATGCGGATCCCGACTCGTAAGTACAACCGTTGTATCATTTTTCCGAGATCAACAGGGTAGAGTGTTTTCAAGTGACCTCACAGCGACCATATTGGTATTCCAAAACAATAAAACGGCGGCCATTTTGGTGTTCCAAAACGATCCCGTGAGGGTCGAACTCTTTTCTTATGTAAACGCTTTCTTTTGTTCCAATAAATTTGCATAGATCCCGACCATGTGAGTGAAAACGCTCTAATCACTCTTGCCTTTAAAACAAATAAGAATAATGCCTTGTCTGCGTTACGTTGTCATTGAAATAAAGGGTGAATTGTCATGTTTTTGAACCTGCAGAAAGAGTTTTGAGCAATTGATTGTTTTTCTTAGACCCTGTTTACATGGAGTGGGGGACCCCGGTCTAGTTGGGTAGGTTTCTTTTGTTTTGTGTCCCCCAGAGCGTGAAAACAAAAGAAACCAACCCCACTAGACCGGGGTCCCCCACTCCATGTAAACAGGCCCTAAAAGGAAGTAGGATTTTGAAATAAGAACGAGGTGTTGCAATATTTGGCTCGGAGCATCAGCTCCTTGTATACATACACCTGTTTCAGTAAAGGTTGCTTTGGGAATGGTGCTTTGGTCTTTGAAAGGCATTGTTTAGTGGTCACTCAAGCAAATTATTCTGTTTTTCATTGTATTCTGTGTTTCGATGACCAAATCCCAAAGCAACCTTTATTGAAATAGATGTGTACTAACAAATTCCCGTTAAAATATCAATGTCATCCTATTTTCATGCTTGAACATGGTAGTGTTGTTTGTTTCTCTTTCCGCCCTAGGATGATTTATATTTATTTAACAGAAAGAAAATTACTGCTCAGCAAAAAATTACATTAAAAAATCTAGAAAAACGGGAAAAAATTATAGGTTTCCATACTTATTTACGAAAAAATGACCATTTACCACTATGACGAACTCCTCCTTAAAAGAAAGAAGTCTACATTTTTAATGTGTGCGCTAAACGTGCATAAAATTGTACGCAGTAAGGATGCGTAGTTCAATCTGTTTGGTCTATTGTAGGGAGATGGTGCCAGCTCTGGATGTGATTCACTCGCGCGTGGCTGTTGCCAGGGTAAAAGACGGAAGCGCGGGAAGACACCGCCACCACCGCCATCACCGTCACAGTTACCTTAGCAACCAATCCAGCGAATCAGGATACTCAGCCATGTCTGCTCCAGCTCCGAAGAGCTCCCAGGTGCTGTTGGAATTAGGCCCTGAGACAGCGCCCCTACCGAAACAAGGACCAGGTAGTGTGACGTGCAGTTGCAGTTAATGGACAGATAGAAAGTGATCCAATAAACTGTTAATTTGACAGAACAAAACAGAACACCCACTTAGAGATATAGAATGCAAGGGCGGAAGATTTCATTGTTCATTTATTATCTACAGTGATTTTCTTCAGTCATTATCTTGGCCCTGGAGATGAGTTTACAGTTTAAATTATTTCGAACAAGTCCTCGATGCCATCAGAAAACGATACCCTGTTCAGTGGCACAAGGGAGTGGGAGGGAGGGAGGGAGTGTCTCCCGTCCCCCCCGATCTCCCAACCCCCTCCCCCCGTAACAGTATTACAAACACTTGTCTTCATAGTGTACCTTGGAAGTGAAGTGTGTATTTGATTGTTCTAGGTTCCAAACAAACAGGACATGTTATGAATACAAGCAACAGTCACTCTTCACCAACAAGACCCCCTCTGGGGTATGAACAGCAGGGTCTGTTTTCAAGCCGACTGGGGTCTTCACCTAGAGAGGGGAGTCCTGATAAAACAGGACAGTACCTTAAGCTGGAATACCCCAATGGAGTCATAATACATGACACCAGAAACCAAGGACGCATTCCAAGGTAAGGCTATAAGTAGACTACGAGTTCTCCCCATTTTTCCTCAGGGATAATAGAGCGAGCGAATCGCGAGCGCGCGTGAAAATCATCCCACGCGAGAAAAGGCGACACGCGTGTGAGGAAAAATGGGGACTACTTGCAGTCTAGGCTATAAGGACAAGGACGTAGACTACTCTCATATTCTCTATTCTCAATAGTGAAATGAGGCTAAATGTAACTTAGGTAAAATAAAATTGCAAGCCAGTGCGGTCAACGGTCTCCTCCTCAAGCGTAAGTGAAATGAGGGGTGACCGCAGGGGCCTTTGATCGTCTTGTGACTTACGTTGTATCTCATGCTGGCATTTTGAGCTCCATCTTTGCGGATTCTGGCTTTGGATGGACGATATGCATAGCACTCGAAACACTCATAACAGCCAAGATGCTGCCTCTTTCGCGGCCAGCGCAACGGCTAGTTCGCCTGCATCGGCGAGTTTGACGCTTCCTGCTGTAGTGAACCAGTAGTAAGGTGGGAATAGCTTGCAGTCGAGGCAAATGCCTCCGATTCAAATGAACAAATCAGATCTCAAAGCAAGTGCGCACAGCTGATACCAATTCGCCACTTAAGAAACGAGAATGGGACTGAATCACAGAAGAAGTCCTACCTGAATTATTTCTGGGATCGGGTGTCTTGCCGGTCAGCTATTGGCCGATTTTTTTTTTCCTGTTCCTTGTAACAGTCCAAGTCACGGCGGCCATATTAGTGTTCCAGAACAATGAAACGGCGGCCATGTTGGTGTTCCAAACCAATCTTGTGGGAGTTAAACTCTTTCCTTACGTAAAAGCTTTCTTTTGTTCCAAAACATTTGCAGAGATGCTAGCCACGTGAGTGAAAAGGCTCTACGGCAGCAATGCGAGATTAAATTAATAGTTTATGTTATTTTATGTTATATTTCTCCAATGAAATACTTTGTCTTTAAGAGGAAAAGTGTTAAGCTCTGGTTAAACCACAACATTCGTTTGTTCCAGCCATGTCATGTACCAAGCGGCCTTGGAGCTGAATGGTACAACTCGACATTATAATTCACCAGGAAGAAACACGACTACAGATTACATTGAAGTGGTGAGTCGTTTTTAAAAGTCAAACACTTCTTACTTTGTAGTTCTTTTAAGTTCTTAGAGTGAGCAACATCAGTTTTTTTTTCCTAACAATACCAATACCTGATTAAGAGCAAAGGTTATGAGTGACCTAAAAGAGGATTACCGAAGAGAACAGCTTACTAGGTAAATGGTGCGGTTGATTTATGGTGGATCCTATATCTATGAAAGGCTTATTATGCGTTACAGCTACTGGCATTGGTTTCCATAAATAGACGGACGTAAAACTTCCTTTGCATTACATTTTAGGTTTCAGGTCCGACAAGGAAGGGAGACCCTCCTCCTTACTACTATTCTAGCCCACAAGCGATAAGTCCAGCAAGTAAATCGACGGTTCTTTAGATTGCAAGAAAAATTACCCTTTCACGAGGAATCCCGCGAGTGCTATGCGTGCAGCCGGACTATCTCGCACGCACCGCATCCACTCAAATGGGACGCAAGGCTGCGGTAGGAGACCAGGTGATTTCTTACATCACTGGATGCACTAGTGAAGAATAAGAAATGAGGTGATTACTTATTGGACATCTAATGTCACGTGATGTCGAGCTCCCTCAAGCTCACACCATGGAGACCAAGTTTGACTTTGCTTTGTGAGTTTCATGGCAGATTTTAACATCTTGTCCGTTATTTGGTTATGGCAACCTTAAAACAGCGAAAGAGAACTAAGAAACTAGCTGATGAAAGACTAGTTTGTTTTTTTTTGTTTTCAATACAACTTTCGAAAGAAATTTTGCACCAAGCACGCAGCGTTATTTCTTTCTTGTGTTTGAATCCACGGCTTGCGTGTATTGTATAGAAAGGAAAAATGATACTGGACTTTCAATGAAACGTATTATTTTATTTTATTTTTATTTTTATTGCACTCGAGTTCGACATGGTAAAACCTACAAATTTTAATGTATAAATAAGCCCGAAAATGTTTTGCATTGGGTGTGGCCCTGCAGAAATTCTTCGAAGGGTATTTGCAAAAAGTGGAAGAAAAAGTAGGAAGATTTCAAAATTATGACCCCTCCCCCCCCCCAACACACACACACCCACACACACCAGTTTTATTTAATTTATTCGTTGAGTTTCTTTTTTTCGATTTTAAAAGGAGCGTTGTGTTATAAACACGTGCTTAGTTCATTTATTTACCCTAAATTTGGTAAGATAGTTATGGCAATATTTTTCCTCATACAAAGTTATGAGTTGCTCAAAACGGTGAAGGCTTATGTTCTCTTCTCTTTTGCGCACGACTTGTGCAGCTATAAGAATCCCCGAGGATCAGGTGACGAGAATGGTTGTAAAAGAGTGAAGGCCCTAAGGGAATTAATTGAGTTTTTATGTATATTATGAAGTATTTTGGCAATTTGCAAATCATTGAGCACTATTATTTCACTTTTCACCTCTAACCCTTGAAGCTCCAGTAGTTAAGATTCTGCAACTCAGACAGTCTTGGTGTAAAACAAAATAGTTGCATGGAGTAAATTCTCGTATATTCACAAAAAATAATATGGAAAAATATTGATCTCACTTTCGTGTGCTTTGAAAAGCTCAGCCTCTTATTCCTTGTAACGCAGCTCTATTTTTATCAAGTTTATGATATATTGACTAATATATGCGTTTATGTCAAAAATGGTGCAGCGAAAATTCCTTGTAAATATGCTTACGGTTAGATAGCATACAACTGTATATTTATATGTCGAAATTTTTACAATTATTCTTAAACGAATAATTGCAAGGTGTCTTAAGAATGCTGATATTTTTATTTGGTTCTTATTTTTATTACGATTTTATGCAGCATTAACTTAGAAAGGATAAAAACTTTCTTACTAAATGTATAAAGAAAAAGGAATTTTTTAAACGGTGGCTTCACATAATATTTGCTGAAAATTGGCCATAACCATTGTTTTTCGATGTTTGTGCTATCATTTCTTTCGTTCTCTTGATAATAATTACTACGTTCTTTCG